CTCCAACTCGAATCAACTAAGCCTCGCAAATGCCGTCAAGTTAAATCTGGAGGCGCCACTTCAAATAGGGGATATGCCATATAATCGCCCCAGCCGCACATTGAGCTGTGCAGAAAAGAAATACTGCATCACCCGCAAAGAAATTTTGGCCATTGTTACACTCGTTTGTAAATATCGACCCTATCTACTTGATAAACCGTTTGTTCTGCAGACTGGTCACAAGGTTCTTCAGTGGTTGCAAAACTTCAAGGACCCTGAAAGACAAACAGCAAGATGGCAGGAATACCTTCAGGAGTATGACTTTGATTGTGTACACTGTCCTGGCAAGCGCTATGCCAATGCTGATGCGTTATCCAGACGCTATTTCTGACCGCACGGAGACTGCCCGTCTTGCGAGAGTATTGATATTCGTGCTATTTGGTTGGCCAGTCAACTATTCAAGCTACAGACGATGAGAATGCACTCCTATATCATGCCTTGTGCAATCAGACTGGTAGGCCAGTTGAGGCTGATGTGAAAACGAAGAGTTGGGATGCCAGATGTTTGTGGGCCTTATGGGACCAGTAAGTGCTCGTGAATAGTATCCTGTGTGTTCAACCTTGCCTCAACTACTTGAGAAGAGTTTTAGTCCCTCAGTCGTTCGTAACAGCAATCATGGAGAATGTACATTGTGACTTGGGAAACGCTGGGATTGATAAGATGCTGCAAGCAGTTACTGAACGTTACTGGTGGCCTCGCCAACGGCGCGACGTCCGAGACTTCGCCCAGGGGTGTGTAACATGTGGCAAAGTGGAGAACCCACTGAGGAAACCCAGGGAGCCACTCTCTAATGTGAAGGCTGGATATCCCAACGAAGTAATTGGCGTAGACATCATCGGACCTTTGCGTGAGGCCACACTTGGGAAGAAGTATATCTTTATCATGGTGGATTATTTTACGAAATGATGTGAAGCTGTACCGCTTCAGCGACTTGGTGCCTCTACAGTAACCAAAGCTATATTTGATTGTTGGATTGCCCGTTGGGGCGCACTAGAGCAACTGCATTCTGATCAAGCAACCAACTTCGAAAGTATCTTGGTTGGAGAATCGTGACATCTATTTGGAATTAAAAAGTTACGAACCACAACGTTCCATCACGAAGACAATGTGTTAGTCGAGCTCATCAAACGAACCTTAAATAATTACTACGCGTTTTCTTAGAAGGAGAATCACAATCAGACTGGGACATCATGTTAGCGAGATGCTTGTTGGCCTACCGAGGAACCACCCACATGTCTACGGGAAAGACACCACACCTGTTATGGACTGGCCGCGAGTTGCATCAGACTAGTGATACATTGGTTATACCCCGGTGGGATGATCCACTAACTACATCGGAGATGATAATCAGGTTGCGAAGAGACATAGCCAGGTATCATAACTATGCACGCCAAGAAACCCAGAGAACACAAAGAGACAGAAACACTACTACGATAAGAAGCAGTGGGGAACAACATTCAAGATAGGTGATAAATTGCGGCTGCGTCAACCAGCGACTGACAACTGGATTCGACATAAAGCCCAAGCACAGTGGGCAAGCCCATAAGTGGTGTACGACAGAGTAACTGACAATACCTACGAAATCCAAGAAGACAACAACAATCCTCAGAAAATGATAGTGCACTTCAACCGCCTGAAACCGTCCAGACCAAGCAGACGGGCACCGAGGAAAACTTACTTTTATTTTGATAACCATTTACCTCTTTCTCTTGCAAAGATGATGCCGGGGCGGGAGAACGCAAGAATGAAGTCGCTTGGGACAGCTTTTGGGAAGCAAGGGGGTCTGGCAGTGGTTCAAATTCAAAGGGAGGCGTCAATTCGAAACCCGGTGGTTGCTGAACAGTTAGCCTAGCTCTTTTGTCTACATATCTTTGACTTCTGCTATTGATTCGGTTGGTAATTATATAATGTTTCGACCCGAGTCTGTGTTCTGCTTTTCACGTCTTATCCAGCGTGCTTGATATATTTATTATGGTTTACGCTGTTCTATTCCAGAATATGGCGAGCCTCCGAAACTCGTTTAAATCTAAGCGAGAGATGAAGAACTTGGACTATGCTGATAATGATATTGAAGAGGCTCTTGGTAAAATGAATGAGAAAGGAAATCTATTCTTAAATTTCTGAGCCTCTAATCACTAGATGATTGTGTGAACACATCAACATCCTCAAAGGAACATGGGTTTCAACCGATGAATACACTGAAAACGAGAGAGACATTATTTCCATAACGAGAAAATGGAGACGCTGCAAAAAAAGTCGAGGAGAGGCGTAAATATGCACCCAGTTATATGAAATAAACTTATAAAATATGGAAGGAGAGGTAAATAAAATAGTGCGAAAATGAAAAGCGGAAGGGTGAGTTGAGTTCTTCCACATCGCACTTAATAAAGAAGTGTAAAAGAGTGCTGGGATTGGCAACAGACAATTTTGCGCTGTTATCTGAAGCAGTACAGCCTGCAGGAAAACGAGCAGCCTGAACAACAAATCAGATAACCAGGTCACTATTCAGGAAGAGATCAGTATGGACGAAACTGATGTGAGATACTGAAGGGAACCTCATTGTCGAACAGAAGTAAGATAAGTAGTATTCCAATGACTATGAAGGACTCCTGGACCGACCATCAGTCTCAAATTGACTAGAAACACCACCACAGTTGAACCGGTGGACATCAGTCCTACAACAAAAGTAGAGAGCTTGAATTAAATCAAGCTACTGAAAGTCCGGAAGGTAGCGAAACCGGATAGAATCCCACATGAAGCACTGAAAACGGATCCAGAGAGCTCGGTGGATATTCCCAGCTCAGTAATGCAGATGGACTAGAAAGATAGGTACCTACTGTTTTTTAAACTATCAATGAATGTGGACGCAGGCCCTTGGAAGAACCGGTGGGGGAACACGCTTTTGTTCACACCAAGCAATATATCAGGTCATGCCTGCCTCCAGGTGAAAACACCACTCGGAAAAAGCAGGATTCAAGAAGAGCAAACAACTACGCCTCACCATCGAACAGAACATTAAAATGACAATCAAACTTATGCTTCTGAATAGGCCTTCAATAGTGACAACCGTGAAGTGATTTGGAAAATACTTCCACACAGTTTGACCAAAACCTTTGCCAACCTCATTTAGCTGATATATCACAATGTCATGCAATTTACAGCAGACCTTAAATTGAAGATAAGAGTAAGACAATCCTGTCTCCTATCTATACCTGATTGTGGTTGACTGATATGTGACCAATTTAGAGGAATAAGAAGACAGATATATAATGGGCAGACATGAAAGCTCCGGAAGATTTGGGTTTATCGGATGACTGGTGTTTACTGTCACATAAACTCAAAGATCTACAGGCGAAACTGATATGTATCCACATAATATGTGTGTTTGTTTTTGACAGTCTGTTATATTTTGCTATGTATATATGGATCGATATTCCATCATAATTGGCAATGTTTCTGTCTGTCCACTAACTAAACAAACATGTCTGACCTTGTTGTCACATGATATGACAACCAATCATGTTAGGACTGTCTATTGATTCGTTCATTTTTGAACATTCGCTCATACACTTGTGTGACATTGATTTTCCTTGTTGTTTGAAAAATACAAGTATCATCGTGAACCTGTGGGTTTTCTGATTTCCGCCTTCTTGCTTCAGGACTATTAACTACTCGACCAGTACATAACAGAAACCAACAATTAACAAAACAGGGAGCGAAGATGCTTCATATGAACATTGAGCATACAGCAGTAATGAGGACACTTGACGACGGACAGACACAACAATCACTGTCAAGGAAAGGAATTTGAAAGAGGTCCCTTGTTTCACTTATTTGGGCAGCATCGTTTCAATTACATGCGGTAAGAATGTGCATTTCCAGGCCAGCCGGGATCGAAAAAGCAAAACAGTTATTCATTATTCTGAAAACCAAGTAGGCTTAGGTACAAGATTTGGATTCACAACAACAGTGATAAGTCAGTTAGTGCTTCCATATCGTCCAGAGACTTCGTGTGTTATCAAAACCACTTAAAATAACCTTCAGACTTTTATTAATAGATGCTTCTGTTGGCTTCATATTGAAGATCAGATAGCCAGAAAGAATAAGCAACCTAGTCTCGTAGTCACACTGCTGACATAACTCGACAACTATAAGATGTAAAAACTAAACTCAGGACCTAGTGAGTGGCCTTTAAAAGTCGATCAGAATAACATCCGTCCTACGTAATTTTTCGCAAAGCGATTTCCACTTTCACCCTGATTTGTTCAATTAGAATCGATTCTAGGATTTGAATCAAGGGTTATCTAAGAATCAAAGGTTGTTTGCGATACCTTCTAGTGATTGTGTTCATTTTTTTATTGATGAATTACTATCATGGGGCTATTCTGTTTGGTTTTTTCCAAGTCCATGACTTTGATTGCTATTCTCTATAGTTATCCACATTCCCTGGGGGCAGGATAAGGGAGATCGCAAGGTGTTCTCGTGAGTACTGGGGCAAAAGACACGATAGATATTCGTTGAGAAATACCGGTAAAACACCCAAACGTAATATTTGAAATAATAACAATTTTTTTTTAAACAGGTAATACAAATTCACATAAGCCCCTGTTCCCTCTTATCAATAGAGCAGAAACGAAAGGAAGGTGAAATTCGTTTGTGATTGCTTGTGTACATACTATTCTTCTCGCTGTCTGTTCCCAGGATCATTTCTAGAGGTTCAGTCCTTGACAAAGAAGATTGTGACGCGGATGACATGAAGTTGTTTACAGGATTTGTCAAGTTACTTCTACATGTTTGATAGAACGAATCACAGATCAACAGTTTTAAGCATTATCGATACACACAGACACTAATTCATATTGTCACCTGAAAAGCATTACACGGTCCCTCTAAGTGCATTCGTGTCTTATAGACAAAATGTATTTCAGAGGAGACAGAAAGAAATCAAAAATACAAATTGACTAATATTTTTTAAATTTATGTGATTTGACTAAATTTACACGTATTCCCTTTAACTCTCCGCCATATGGTTTTTCCTCTTTACGAACAGGTGCAACACGTGACCGATAACGAATTGTAGCCTTACGGAATTTAGGACGTAGATGAACTCTGGGATTACGTTCTCTTTTATGACGATATTTTACGATTCCTTTATTTCTCATCATCTGCAAAATAGATGAACAAAATTAAATGGGATACTTCAATCAATTATTTCTGTTAGACAGATAAGATATATTCTGAGGAAATGTTTTGCAGTTGCTTCAACACGATTAGCAAGCAATGCCTGGATGTGAATGTCTAACAATAACTGTACCAGTACCGTATTATGAAACATCAATAAATGAAATGGTTCAAAGTTTATTCACACTAAGGTAAATGTATACATTGTCTTAAAATCCTATAGATGTTCATTTATCCTCATTGGATTATGCTTGCCTTCTCTTTAAAATAATATTCAACAGTTGTGGGTATCTTAACACTTATATAACCTCTTTCTTTTGTGTGGTCAGTTCAGATGGTGCAATTTCATGCTAAGTCCTCTGTATTTTATTTTGACAGATATCACGACAACTTCAAGATTTCATATTTGAAAAAAGGCATGTATAAACATTGAAATAGTACAACTTAAAGTTATTTTATTTCCTCAGTTCTCCACTAAATATGATCGATTTACTACATTGGACATTCCATGATAAGTATTATAATTATCATAGACGTTATATGCAGCTAAAGAGAAGTGATGAAATAAAATGGATACTAGTTATACATACTTGTTCTTGTTGGTTTCGAACTCAGGAATTTCTACGAGACTTTACACTCTTTACAGATCAGATTGAATATTCATCAACTATCTCATATAAAACCAAACAGTTTAGCTGTCTGTCCTAATTGAAAAGTTCAAAAATGTAAGAAATATGGTGCTCAAGACAAACAAACAAACAAATAGTTACCAATCATATGGAGTTTGTGAATATACAACTATATACAGAATTTAAAAGAGAATTGCATAGAAAAAAGTGACAAAAAAAAGTGCGCAGACTTCATCAACTAACCTCTTTACTTATTGGTCGATTCGGTAAATCACTGGAAGTTTGTTTAACTGCATCCGTATTAACTGTTTTTTTTGTATCCGTTGATAGTGATTCCTCCTCATCATACTCTGACTCAGTATTGTCACCATCAGACAGATGACCAGAAATGTCACTGAAACAAAATAATTATCCATATAAAAGAATGTAACAGTGCGATAGTTCAATTAATGGAAAACTTTTAAACTGGAGTTTCTGATGACATGAAATCAAATGTACATTCAAACGACAGAATGAATCTTAATGCCTTGTTATAATAAAAAAATAGCAAGCTATTGAATGAATAGGCTCTACAATTATTTATTTATTTAAACGCAGAAAAAAATTGGTACAATATGGCACCAAGAAAGATGCACCACACATTTCATCTGTTGTGTGACGGCTGAGATACTGCCCGGGCGCCTAGACCGAAGCAGGTGGTTTTCTTAAGCGACCATCCCCGAGCCTTTGACTTGAAGTCTAATTTAAAAGGCAGCGGAGCAGCGTTCCCATGGTTTCCGGTGACCCATATGGGTTCATACGCCATTTGATCCGATTGGATTCTGGAGCCCATGTACCCAATGGCAACTGCTTTAAGTCTAACCATTATCCAAACAACCTTTCTGAGCTCTACAATTATATAACTGATGCCAATTCGTGGCAAAATCTACCATGACAAACGGAAATATATCTTTGAAATTATGAACTTAGTAGAACAGATTCCGTTTAAACAAATAGTTCCCCTTTATCAATGATGTGAAGAAAAGATTAATTTGATATTATTATTATTGTTAATGATGTAATCATCATCACAATCAACTCATTGTAATACGGATGACTAGTACATATTCAGTGTTCAAGGAGGTAACATGGTGGGCCTCAAAAATATCGCAACTATTACGGATTACTTAAAATATTACTTCAAAATGAAGTATGCACTGAGGATTTTGTTTAGGACAATATTGACAGCTTCGCCACTAAACCATCCAGCTCAGAGAACACAGCTACACGAAAATCATTTAATTGAGTCATAAATCTTATCGATTATATGCTATTACAGTTAACATGAATTTATACACGGTATAACGCACAAGTCAAACATGCCGAACTTCTTCCTCTGCCCAAGAACGAACTCAAACAACTTTTACTTATGTGTACCAAAGACGTACAGTTCCAGTTCAACAACACTCTATACCGCCAAATTGACGGAGTAGCCATGGGAAACCCCTTGGGTCCGATTCTGGCAGATATTTTTATGGGTAGTCTAGAAAAAACAAGGTTAAAATCCTAAATCAGTCAGACAAACGTCTATACCAGGTATGTCAATGACACTTTCGTTATTTGTAATTCTTTCAATGATGCATTTCAAGTATTAGAAGTCTTGAACAGCGCCCACCCCAATATTAAGTTTACAATGGAGTATGAAAAAGAAGAAAAGTTCCATTTCCTGGACATGGGTATCCAACGAGATAAAGACGGCAAAATCATAAGATATATACACAGAAAAGAGACCTGGAGGGCGGTTTATCTTAACTTCAAAAACTTCTGCCCTATAAGTTACAAAAAGGGATAGGTGAGAAGATTATCTGATCGTGTGAGGAAACTGGGTCCAGAAGAAAAGATTGAGGAAGAGCTATCCACTGTGGAGAAATGCCTACGCGAAAACGGTTACCCACAAAAGTTCATCGACAAGTATGGGCGAACAATAGGGAAGATTTGCAGTTCAGGTGGATGATATTGAATTATTGTGCTCTCTGATCTAGTTGATTTAACTGCGAGGCTTTTGCCGTCCTTCTAGACAACATCTTCAGCGAAGGTTTTAGGATAAAATGGACTTGTTTAAATTCTCCATGAATGATGTAATTGTGTCTCCTTGCAACTACTGCCGTGATTGGTTTACGTCTCTATTGATCAAATTTTTATTGACTTGGAATTTGAACCTTCTTGTCATGAGATTTACTTTTTATCAGCTGGTAAATTTGTTCTATAATAATGTGTTTGTTAATTGCTGGTTGATATACTTGAGTATCAGGCTTCTAGGAATTCCCTAGCAGTATTTTTGGTGTTTCCTTTACTTAAAGTTCCTGCATTATCACAAACAAATTGGTGTGAATACTTATTCACTTGCATTGATACGAAAGGATATATAATCATGTCTTTTTTCAGCCAATTTGTGTTCTTGGATTTGGATTCGAAGGGAATTCCCACTTTCACCAGCAAATAAAAACTAAATCTCATGACAAGAAGGTTCAAATTCCAAGTCAATAAAAATGTGATCAATAGAGACGTAAAGCAATCACGGCAGTAGTTGCAAGGAGACACAATTACATCATTCATGGAGAATTTAAACAAGTCCATTTTATCCTAAAACCTTCGCTGAAGATGTTGTCTAGAAGGATAACGAAAGCTTCACAGTTAAATCAACCAGATCAGAAAATATAATTAATTCAGTACAATAAGATGACTGATATGCAATAAATAAACCAATAAATAAAAGCATAACTTCATTATGAATACTCTTCATCACACTTTGATGCAGACTAAATTCTACTCTGAAACAACAAATTAACCAACGCAGTGTGAGCGTCTGAAAATTGTACACAGATAATATCTCAGACTCAGCTATGGATACTGAAATAATAATAATAATAAAGTTTTAATAATATTGTGGGATATAACAGCTCATATAATATAGGGTTGTGAAACACGCCATCTCAATATTATTTCATCTTATAATATTTCTTAACACATTTCCAGCTATACAGGTGTTCATTTGGCGTAAATTTTCTTTCAAGTCAAAGGTTGACAAAAATTTTATCACACATTTCATTTTGACGCTTGCATATAACTTAGTATTAAATTAACATATCTAGGCAAAATGCTTCGTAAGTGTAGTGCAAACTTTTGGATTGTTTTACTCTTAAGACAAAAACGGTCATATACACTTATTTAAATTTAAACTTGCTAACTCACCTTCATTGCCAATGCTTTTCCAGTTTTGTTTGGACAATCGTTTCTGTAACATGTGATTGGTTTCCAAGCTAAAATAAATAAATTTAACAAGTGATTATTCCATCAGTTAAAGTTATGAATTGCATGTGTTGAGTCCATAATCGTGTTACACTGGAGATATCTTAGTAAATTTAGATGTAATAATTCCATATTAGATAAGTTGATCTTAAATATCACGCAGTGAAGTAGTATGAACAACTGGATGACGTTTCGAGCATAAATTATTGTTCATAATCATATCAGTTTAGTCACACGGCTTCACAATTCGTCTTGGATATCTTTTCGCTCTATTTCTTTCTCCATCTTCCCCTTGGTTTTGTTGCTACTTTCAAGTTATTATTATTATTTATTATTATGAGCAATTATTTATGCTTGAAACGTCACCCAGTTGTTCATGCTGCATCCCTGTGAGATATTTAAAATAGACTTATCTAATATGGAATTACATTCTACCACAGCGCCCAATTTCTACTCCTACATAAGATATAATAAAACGTTAAGACAACAGCAGCCATCAACTTTGCATAGAGAGACAGTACGCTGTAAATCAATATACGCAACGCTTAAAAGTATTATTTATTACAAAATTATAAAACTTTCAGTAAAATATCCCTCTGATAAGATATAATGCCTTCCATAACCCTATAAAAATGATGATTGTTAGCTTACAAATAAAATAACATAATTTTAATAGGTAATTTGTTTCGCACTATGTAGTGGTCAAATTTATTTCACGCTTTCATTCCGTTCATGACTTGTCGGTTGAATGAAGTTTCATACCCGTACCCCTCAGCGTTCTCACTAAATTTATTATGAAACCTCTTTATACTATCTACCTGATCACTGAACCACAACAAATAATTCACGTTGCTTATTTATAACTCTGATTTTTCCATTAATGTAGCTCAACATAATCTCATAGCCGCTGTGCGTCGGTGGCACAGTGGTTAGGACTCTCACCGACTATGCACATTGTCAGGGGTTCGAGCTCTCGCCGAAGCACACCTGATATCTAATTTTAATTTAATTTTTGATTTACAGCTTGATTCCACACTGTATTTTCGGTACAAGTATGGAATTTTCAGCATGGAAATAGGTAGCCCAAATTTTGCAGGCCGACCATAGATATCAGGTGTGCGTCGGTGCGGGCTCGAACCCCGGACCATGTGCATGGTCGGCGAGAGTCCTAACCACTGTGCCACCGACCTGCGAAATCTGGGCTACCGATATCCACGCTGAAAATTCCATACTTGTACCAAAAATACAGTATGGAATCAAGCTGTGATCAAAAATAAATAAATAAAAATAAATCAAGCAACTCTTATTTCCATAGAGACACGGCTGTGTGATACAGGAAAATGGATTGTGTTTCACATATTACTTCAAATGTTATACGAAAAATTTTGTTGTAGTGGACGAGTGTTAAATGTAGCTGTCACCTAATATGGGAAATCGAATCGATTTCAAAATATTTAATTTTCCAATAAATCACTGAAGGTAACGGCTTCACCTTTTGGATCCAATGTAAAGGAAATAGTATGTTCTTTAAAGGAATCAAGGAGATTTAAACGCCATAAGATATAGAAATAGAACTTTGGAACTGTAGTGGATTATATTTCCATCATATGGTATGATTATGAGCAATAAATTGTGCTCAAAACATTATCAGTAAATAATGCTGCATAACACTGTGAGACTTTGATAAACGAATAGAACTTGTGCACTGAGGTAGAGTATTATTCCATTATGCGTAAAATTCACTCTATGATGAAACATCATAGGGATTAGTAACTGTTAATAGGCAACAATTGTATTTCTTTTTACTTACACTCCCATGTATAATGAACTGGTTGTAATACTTGATTCCCATAAAAGGCTGTTGGGTAGTTTTCTGGCCAATAATGGAAAAATAAACAAACAGCTGGAAGTCTAGCTTCTGTAGGCCCATAGGCTATAATCATTAGTAAATCCTATCGAAAAGAAATCACATAAAAGATGATTCAAGTATTATAACGAAATAAACATTGTATACATTGACTTGTGGATATTTATCGAATAAAAGGTGGTTCTGCATATACTTAAGAGAAATCCATATCAGTAATTTCTTTTTACATTTTTGCCTATCATCAGAGCAATAAGTGTTAGGGTGTTTTCCCAATGACTTATAACTGTCTGCATAGTTTTGACCGAATACAGGCTAACTGAAGCCACCGGGTTGTTTACTTATCCTTCAGACGTACGTCAGTAAAAAAAACCTAGATTCACTAGAATGTATTTATTAAATACTAGTTAAATAATAAATTTTTTAAACATTAAATAGATGTTTCTATTATTTTACAAAAGGAAATCAATATACATGTCTTCTAGACTCACTTTGTATAAGTCTTTTTTTCTTGACATGAAACTCTCCAATACCCATACATGGTATTCTGAAATGTAAAATAGATATTTGGAAAAAATGATACATAAGCTAGCATAGGCATAAGACATTCATATTAACCACTATAACAATTTAGTGTTTATAAACATTCCTAAACTTGACTGACAGAATTCATTTTGTATCAAACAAAGGAAATAGATACATTACACTAATTACTACCTAATGTCCAATCAAAATATCTATATAGTCCTGCAAAAGATCAATCGCAAGCTCGAATAGCTCAGTGGTAATGTCTCTGACTGCATCATCATCAATGGGTGACGTGGGTTCCAATCACAGAAGGGAAGTGACTTCCTTCAAGGTTGCAGATACGCCTTGCTGACTGGTGAGTGCCAACTAGCAAGAAACCTAGGTCTAAGGCTTCCCAACGATGGCATTCCAGACATCTAATGTAAACATTTTTGCCTTGATTGTCTAAAACTATATACTGCCATATACAGCGTACTTCAAATAATGGCTAACATTAAAGATGTTTTTAGTGTTGCTGTTAAATACTTCAGCGTAGCCAATACAACAACAAAATAAGTTAACTGATTTCGAATGGTCAATGAGTTAACCATCTTTAGAGTATGACAATACGACATGAAAAAGTTTTGCAGCTCCGAATTAGTCGAACAATTCTGATGCAAAATAACTGTAAGGCGGTTTAATACTCCTGTTAGTAGAAGTTGAGAACCATGGGATGCTGAATTTCAACTGACTGATTATATAAGTGCCAATGTGCGCGTGATATAACCTAAAGATCTTGAGGTTAATCCCTCCAAAGGTTTTCAGTCTGCACTCAAGGAGAATCCTAAACTTCCTAGTGTGTCTTAATTTCAATGAACTTTGTAGGTGATGGCGGCTTGAGTAGAAATACCTTGTTTCTGTTACAGTAAGATTACGTGTATCAGCGTTAGTTGAAGAAAATTCTAATCTAACTTTATGTCTCATTATAATAAAGGTTTTTAGTATTTCCCAATGAATGAAAAACAAAACGATATTGTTTTTACTGACGTTTCGCTATTTAATGCTAATAGCTTTCTCAAATTATCATTAAAATTTTTTAATAACTTTATGTTTCACGCCTGTTATATATTCTTCAGGCTTTACTCTAATTTACATAGACTCATATATAAAAAATTTTAACCAATGACGGTGATTTTGTGGGTCAAATAATAATAGCAATAATAATGATAATGTCGTAAATGTTATGAACGAAATTAATAACGATGACTATAATGATAACAGAATATTGATAATATGGTTTATGCAGGTGATAAGAATAACAAAGATAGTATATGCATATTTGTAGACAATTCAATAAATAAATAAATTAGGTCAAATCAAATGGAACGATAATCAGAGTTTAAATAAATATCATAAAAGTACGAAGGAGATGGATTATAAGAAAGGGTGGGAGGGTTTTGAATAGAATTCACATAGGCCGAAGGAGAGACAAAGGTAGAACAAACTTTTTTCGTACACAAAGACTAGGATTGTTCTCTCTAATTCCCATAGCTTCGTCTAAGTGTAAAAGACGGGTTCTGATTCCGTTCGAAAGACTCGATGGAATGCGATAGATAACTTTGAAGGCACTATTTTTGTCCACTTGGTGACCGCTATCAATCAAATGAGCCAAAATAGAACTTCGTATGGATTTTATTTAACCTTTTCCGAACCATGAAGAAAAATGCTCATTAATGCGTTTGTTAAGCTGTCTAGTTGTTCAACTGATTAGACACTATTAGACACTCACCTTTCAGAAAAATAAATTCTCATGCAAATAACAACATTTGGTCTTTAGAATGCCTTGAGAATTCTACAGCTTACAGTCATTTTAACAGTTCAGGAATATAATGTATGCTGAACCGCCATACAAACTTTTACCAGTGAGGTCTGAACTTATCATTTGGTGAATTTTTTTTAAGTAAAATTTCAGTATTTACCTAAAATACCTTTTAAGATATATATTTCGTTACAGACCAATAACACTGGAACTATAGATAGGTAGTTTAGGGTGGTTCAGAACACTTCAGCAGTATCTGTTCATCAGTCTTCCAAGAATCACGAGCAAAACACTGGTGGCTTTACATAGTTGTATCTCCATCCACTCATTAGATCGGATTTCCAGTTTATGTTTGTTGAATATATAACGCTGCCAAACTATAGTGTTACCTTTAAGTAACTGTTCTCACCGTTGACTTAGCTGAATCTACCAATCTTAGCTATTCATTAGAATCTTTAAAAAATCAGCCTCGAAGTTAGTCATTAAAAAGCAATATGATGAAACTTCATTGTTAGACTTATATGGATTTAATTAATATCAGGGTGAAAGATGCTGAAAATCGTACTTTCTTTGGAAGTAACTGAGTTGGGTAAGACATAATCAATCATTTTTCTGAGTACACTTGAACTTAGCTGATGTCATTCCCTGGTGTAGCTACTCTTAGCTTTTCTCATCCCAGTTTTACACCACTTGGTATGAATCTTGCTTCCATATCTTTGGTAAGTGTAATAGGTAGATAAGTGTTCATTCACACAGGTAGGATGTTCACGTGTAGGATACTGTACATTCTACCATAATCGAAATCACCTCAACCGTGCAGTGTATATATTTATATCGATCATTTTACTTACCAACTTTTTCTACATGTTGAAATACCAGTGTTAAAATAGAGGGAATACAGTCAACTGCATACGATTCTTGGTCGTCGGTTATATCTAAAAGCAAAGCATTAGAAGACAACAACATCCATTTACAATACGTATCATATTTAATGATTTGTGTTATTACAACAAACTCAAAAGAATAGTGTGTTTTCTTTTCAAGAAATCAAATGTACATAAAATTAAAATCTTTTGAATTTTGGATTAGTTCAATGCCCTGTTACTATTTTACTTCAGTTACTTTATTATGGGTGAATTTTGTCCTCAGTTCACATAGACACCTTTAATCATTTAATGTATTACGTATTCTATAGTGAAAAGATAAAGTACTTTCTTTGCGCCTATTCATAATATATGGCTATTTCTAGATTAGGAAATTAATCTGTTATCTACAACTTTACAAAGATTTTATACTTCATATAGAATAAAAAACTAGTCATTTGTTAGTTGACTGCAGGCAAGAAACACTGGACTGAAGTAATCATTCCTTTTGACAGTTATCACTACTGTAATAAACTGATTCTCCTTCATGGATAAAAACTTATCATCGAAAGCGGTACCAAGCTTTACTTTAATCTTTATACGACTGGTTTAGGTACATTATTTATTAGTTGGGGAATGAAAATTGTCACCTTTTCTAATTCAGACTTCTGATTAGATTCTATACATGATATTTTAAATGTGATCACTCATGTTTTCTATAGAAATCAGATTATTATTAAGGGCAACAGAGAAGATTAGGCACCACAGTCAAATGACTTTGAACCAACCAATCAGATAACTCAGTATTATAAATGGATGCTTCTCATAATCTTTGTTGTAAGTTCCAATCATAACCCTACCTTAATCCTATCCTAACCTTAACCCTGAATCAGGATGAAACTTCCAACAAGGATTATGAAAAGCACTTGCAACGCTGATCGATCTGATTGGTTGGTTCGGGGTCACTCGGCTGTGGTGTCTCTTCTTCAATGTAACATAAAGGTGTAACTTTCTTTATTAGTAATTATAATGTGAAGAAGTCAAAAGTTAAATGTTACACAGTTTAATGAGATCTAGTGAAACAAAAGGTTCGGGAACTTTTAGTAATAAAATTATCGCCTCATTATATTTAAATTATTCATCTAAAATAAATTCATTGAATTCTGCTTGCTTAATCATTGTCCTAATTAACTATTTAAAATTTCTATTACTTATCAAGAAAGATATTTATTTAACTCATTTTATTTGTAGTCTCATCAACTAGAAAGTTGTCGTCCAACAAATGTGCCAGTGAGGAGACCGTTGAGTGAAATCATGCGCCAGGTCGTCGAGTCAAACGCTGCTAGGAAAGAACTGGGTGAATGACCAAGTGTGGCATGAAATGCATTGTGTAAGGAAGAAATGAAAACTCATAGGCAACCGTGAAGCCAAATAAAATAGAATTCAGAGAGCAGAGTGGAGAGGAGATGTACTGCTGAAGGCCCATGTTCCAATCGAAATCCATGGGAACAACAATAATAATTTGCAGTCTAATATTAATACCTTTGATACTTATTCGTTTTTAAGATTAAATCTTTTGTCATTTGTCAGATGTAATTACATCAGTTCATACACTTAGTTATGCAGAGATTTATATGTAATAAGGGCATAAATGACGAAAACTAAAGAAAGAAAGAAGGAAATCAGATTCAACCTACCAAAAGAAAACAAGCTATTGTAAATATGTATAAACAATTTGCTTATTCCCTATTGGTCACTGGTATTTATCTTTAATCGATACATCATGTTAGAGAGTAGACAAAATTCTACTTAACTGAATATTTTATTAAAAATAATTCTGACTAATGGAAGCAATTATAAGTTAGATGAATCGATTGAAATGAATACTTTTTATCATCGATCGTTTGATGCGTTAATTTTGTCAACTTAGTGTATAATTGGACAAAAGAACAAGCAAAACATTGCTTATTACCTATACTTCGACAGTTATCAAAGTTATTATTTAACAGCGTATCATGCATGCATTTCTGTTGATATCTAATATTCTCTTAAACTTTCATGCTCCGTTTATGTCTTATTCGATTTGATAGAACTTTCTCGCTAGACTTTCTACACCAAGAAGCTCTGAAAGTGTGGTACAAGTTAGCGTAACTTTAAATTTGTATTAGCCGATGATTTCCGCTTTAGCCTCTTCACTTTTCTTTCTTATTCAATCCAACAGTCTTTAAAGAGGAAATATTATTAAGGTTGTGAGCAAATCTGTTGACCTATCAATTATTTTACTGATAAATATGGATCTTAGCACATATTTAAATTATGGTAAAAATTTAAAGAGTCACTTACAACTTAATGTGTATCATTTTTTGAAGGTTACTACTTTATATATTGGATGAAATAATATATAGACATTACTCCTGTCAACCAATGCTGCCCGCATGCCAGGTCAAGGCACTTAAAATATGGAACAAATGTCTTACTCACCTCGAATCAACCTCATCAGATTTGATTAACTTCGGAGAATAATTTGAGGCTTTAGTTTGTATGAATGGCTTCAGTTCATCAGCCAATATGAGACACCATAATTTTGTTCTATAGTTCACTTTGCCTTACATTATCTTAGCATTAATCCAATCACAGTAACCATTGTGAATGCAAGGATTCCCAGAGAACTACGGTGAAACCTCACGACAGATGATGACACTTGGTTAGAAAACTTAATCACATGGAATGACTAATAAAGAAAATACACTAAGCAGTTAGGACAGTTGGAAGTTAAAATGTATTTCTGAGTTTGAGAAAGACTTGACAAGGAATATACTCGTAAAAACAGCAACAGTGGATTCAGATTTATCCACCCTTACTTGGCGTACTGTTCGTAGTTTCTGCCAGACTAAAAATTAAAAATTTTTGACGATCAATAGCAATTTTTCTTTGGCTCCGTAGACTGAACTTACATGAATTTCAAAAGAATTAGGCCTTCATAAAAATATTTTTGCTATTATCAAATAAACAGTTTTGAGAATTACGTCTGAGAACACGTTACACTAATTTCATGAGTTTCAACATGATCATAATTATCTTATGGATGAATAATAAATGCGATTATCTCTGTGATAGCAAACGAATCAGCCAAATATTCTTTTATTTATAAAATTGGCTGTACAGGGAGAGAACCCATCTGTTTTGTTAACTGTCTTAGAGTGTAGTCTAAACTGTCCAAAAGACATCAGGAATCAAACCGATTATTTCGTTCAATTAGTTATCCTTAATGAATGATTTTGTCAGGTGAACAGATAATATCA